TGTATGCCGCAGCAAACCACACAAATGAGTTATTGAGCAACCGGTGTTGGATCCACCGGCGTGGTTCGTGGGTTCCTATGTAAGCGGAGGCGGCCGCGCATGCAGGGCGCAGTTGTAGAGGAAGAAGAGCTCTTGGTTGGCCGTGCTGATGCAGAGGCCAATATCAGAAGAGGTGTCCACGTGGAGTTCTATGTTGCACACGCTGTTGGAGAGCTAGAGGTTGGTGACACGGATGGAGTTTTCTGGGTAGGAGATGATGAGGATCTCATCCAGATGGAGGCCTTGTCTGTGCTGTCGTGGGTAAACTGGAAGGTTGGTGGCCACACTCGGGCAGGTACCTGCCGCAGAGCCACAAAGAATACATGATATGGATGTCTCCGCACACATGTTGCCCATGTAAGCCCTAAACCCTGACCAGATACAAAGGAATTTGGAGGGGAGAAAAATGATAAGCATCCCAGCTGTGGTTGAACACTGAACTAAACTAAATTCCCTAGTGGACAGGTAAACAAGCGTCGAAGGAAGAAGGAAGAAGAAGAGATATTTCGGTGAGAAATGTAAACCGCCAACTAGATAATCACCTAGGAAAGGAGAAGGAAAAAAACAAATCCGAGGAAGATTGATATTTCGTCAACCTTATCAATATTTTGGCAAAGACAAAAATGAGAGTTTATTGATAGATTCAAAATTTTAAATAGAGAAACATATCGCTCCTCGCCGAAACGACCGAAATTTCATAAATTCTGTAATTATTTCGAAAATTTTAGACAAATTCTATCAAATTTTGAGGCAATGTTATATTTAAATCGCAGACATGTAATCTTACAGAAGTTTACCAGTATCATAATTCTAGTCTTTGTTCTTGAGGGCGAGTAATTAGCCAACGAAACCTCACGGACTAAACTGGTTGAATAATAATAAAAAATTATGAATATACATGCAGTACTAAATTAAAATTCTTTACACGACAAAAAATTCAAAATTCTTTAAACCTGGGATTGAACTGCCGCTAGAGTTACCTGAGCTACGACAGATGATGAAGTCAGACATGCCGTCAGAGCAGCGGCACTCGAAGATATCGTAGGTGGTGTTAATCCGGCAAAAGCCTCCACTCTCCTCGCACGCCCTGCAGTCGCCGGCCGTATACTCGACAAGAAACCCGCTGTTCATCAGCCGCCGGTAGTCCGCCCCGGTCGCCCCAGGGTACCCCAGCACCGGCATCATCGACACGGTGCAGCTCCCCGGTATCGGCTCCCATTTGTTGTCGGGCTTGTACCCGCCGGAGAGCAACGCGAACGAGTTGAATATGGACGTGTTGGCATTCGTGCAGTTAACGGGCACCCAAGCAAGCGGCAGCGGCTGCGCCTCAAGGTCGGTGCAGTTGTAGAGGAAGAAGAGCTCCTGGTTGGTGGCGCTGATGCCGAAGGGCGCGTAGCCGAGGTCGGAGGAGGCGTTCACTTTGAGTTTGATGTCGCAGCTGCCGTCGGAGAGATCGGTGTTGGCGACCGGGAAGGTGCCGTTGTCGTTGCCGTAAGAGATCTCCGTGATCTGGTACGTCCAGATGGAGTTCCTGAGAGAGGCCGTGCCGTTGCAGTCGCACCTGACCTGGAAGGCGCGGTAGCCGACCGGCGGGTGCGTGCCGCCGAGCCAGAACGGGTACTTGTCTACTTGATGCGCAGACATCGCTGGGTCGCAGGAGGTCGACGATGACGGCAACGTCGGCGTGGTGGTGTTTTGGGCGTGGGTGGCGAGGACGGCAGTTAGCAGCAGTGTGGCTGAGCAGAGCACGGCGGCGGCCGCCGGGATATGCATCGGGCGATCTTGTTGCAACGGAATGGACGATTGAAGAGGCTAACGGCTTGCGGGTGACGCAGAGAGGGAGGCGTGCAGTGATGAAGAGAGGCAGTTGAAGATGTTGAGAATTGAGAAGGAGATTGCTGTAAGAAGCACACACGGGAGACGGGACATTCATGCATGCATATGGTTGCCGGGTGTGTTGACTGTTCGTCGATACGGGACGGAAGTTTGACTGAAATGGGCATCACCACGACACTCATCGGTAGTGGGGAGCTCACCCGCTACGTGGGTCCTCAGGGCCCTATAGCAAGTGACCTTTGGAAGGTCGTCGGTCCGGCTTTTGGGTTTGAACTTTGAACGCCTCCTTACCTACTGCTAGGGAAAACAACCAAAACCATTACTGACGACCTGAGAGGCGGCCTCGTTCTGTTCATAGCCGTGTGGGCGAATAATACAGTGATCATCACGCGTGGATTATTTTTTCGCAAGCGTGCATGACTGCATCTGCATGCATCCACCACGAGGCAGCCTATCCAACAAAATACGGTGGGTGCATGGTTTTATCTGGACGAGAGGACACGGCGCGGCACGACGAGGAGGCCACCGCATGCCGCTGGCTCGCAGGAACGACAACGACAAAGAAACATCACTGGTGGTGCTAGATACGAGGGTGAGCACAAGCATGACTGATCCGAACATGGCAGCTGCAGGGACATGCAACGGATGCATCTTCTTGCACCGTCGTAGCGTGTATTACAAGTCTGCAAAGTACTTCTTCCGTCCTATAATATAAGACGTTTTTGCAAGCTATTAATATAAGACGTTTTTGCAAACTATAGGACGGAGGGAATAGATGAAAAGATCCCTTTTCTTCCGCACACAAAAAAGGGCGTGCAACTATATGAGAGACAAGAAACAAACCAATGATGAGTTGGTCAAAGTCATTATTCGTCGACTTGCCAATTTTCCGAGGACATCAAAATCTTAATTAGTCTATATGTTTGCGATGTGACATCTACCGTGGACTAAAGCTTGACAGATTGCACTATTCCACTCATAGCTCCCCCGCCACCCCGGGAGCAGCTATCTATCTACGA